GATAAATTTTTTTAATTTTATGGGTGTTAAAAAGTAAAAGAAAAAATGGCTAAATGTGCATTGGGCTTGGATTTTTTTTAAAGAAAATTAAAAAGTATTTATTAAAATTAATATATATTAAAATATTAAAATTAATAAAATATTAAACAGGACGGGGTAGGGGATGGGGACAGGTGGGGAGACCTTCCCTCGTCCCCGCCCCGGACTCCAATTAGGATCTCAATTTGACCCCATAAGATTTTCCGACCCGATTGGATTGAGTACTTACAGGGATCGGGTTGAGTATTAAAAATCTCAAAATAAACTAGTAGTTGCCCCTAAATAATGAATTTTAGGGATAAACTCATAAACCAAAGTAAAAAAAAATGTCATGGTAATATTGACTCAGCCAAAAGTAACACTTTTATATCTTTTTTTTTTCTTGACAATTAAATTGAAAAATAAATTATCTACGAAATTGGAAAAAAAATAAATATGCGCTACTAAGTGACATGGGGTATTTGAGTCTCCGACTCTCCACATTAATTGGTGTCTACCCTTTATACATCACTAACAAATGTTCAATTAAACTAACATACAATGAGAAAACTGTAAATAAAAATACATCACTAACAAATGTTCAATTAAACTAAGATTGAAATACAATGCTCCAACTCCAATAATTGGTATAAAGTCGTGAGGGTTATGCCTAAAGTTGGCAATATCATAACATTGTGGAGATATTCGAGATGTTTTTAACAGTGCTATTAGCATATATCTCGAACTAAGAGACCGTGAGTTCGAATCTCCACTTGTTTGTTGTACTAAAAAAATAAAGAATATAAATAATATACATATAAATTTTGGGACGTGGGTCAACTGATGCCTCATGTCGCCCTATTTTTTGAATAAGTTTGCTAAGAAACCTATTTTAAAAACAAATTTCGTAGAAGGCATTAAAAAAAGAAAAAAGAAAAAAAGGTCTTATCGGCAAACAACGGCCAAATCTCTGAAAAAACTGCAATTTTTTAAATCTAATATTTTTGAATTAAGAAGCTCCAGTTTTAATTTTTTACTGTTGTTTGAATTATGTAATAAATCAATCTTAGAACCAAATAAAAAATTGTGCTCCACA